AAACTGGGTAAGATTAAAGAACCTTCATTTGAAGAGGAGAAAAAAGTTGTAGGTACTGTGGTGAAGTTAGTATTTTTCTTTAAACAATGGCTGTTACAGATGCCTATGATATCCAGACAAAAAAAGGGTAATAGAAGACTAATTTCAATATGGTCTTTAAGAAACACATTCCAATTTTACAATGCTACTAAGTAGGGAAATGTTGCTTTTGAATACTTGTCGGGCAGTGGTATTCATAGCAAAACTGGGGGCTGAACTATGGACTTTTGCACTGAGCTACATACATACCCAGACCTTTAAATTTTGAGAGATAGGGTCTTGCTAAATTGCTAAATTACCTGTGCTGAGCTTCAACTAATGCTTCTCCTGCCTGTGCCTCCCACAGTGCTGCGATTACAGATGTGTGCTACCATGCCTGGCTTGCTTTTGAACACTTCTGAGAAAAATTCAGAAAAATGATTCTTTTAACCATAATTAACCCATTATTAGCAGGAGGAAATAACCTAGTAAAGGACTCAGAATGCTCCAATTCCTAAATACAAAGGGAAAACTATTAATCCTTGTTAGATATAGCTAACAAAATAATTTCAGATTCTTGATCTGGTACAAAATGTTATTGAAGGGCTGAGACTGTAGCTCAGTGGTAGAGTGCTTGCCTAGCATACACAAGATCCTGAGTTCAATCCTCAGTACCACAAAAACGAAAAAACAGAAACAAAATGTTATTGCTAAGAGTAAGGAATATCTATGATCCTCTCCATAATGGACTACCTATAATTTCTTTACCTTCTCAGATTATCTAGAAAGTCTTGTATGCCTGGGTCTGGCAAGAATAGTAGCTGTCATCTTTCAATCCTAATACCAGTTTGTATAAAGTTTTACAATGCAAAACAGAAAACAAAAAGAGGTTCGTAGGCAACGAGGGTTTTGTTCATATAAAGCTGTACCTTTCTTAGAATTACAAAGAATTTTACCAGACAGTGCTCAAGCTTAGAATCATAGATGGCTACTCTCACAAAAGAGATGGGTGCAATGTGCAGAATATCTAGCTCCAGATGTTTTATGGAAAATCTCTTCAGAACATTTTAAGTGCCTCATTCCCAATAATCTCAGAGCCAAACCAAAAGTAAATTTTTTCTCTTATAAAGATGCAAATGCGGATGATCCACCCATCTAATTTAAAAAAAAAAAAAAAGGTTTTATTATCTAAAAAAAACACCTAGGTGAAACTAAGTACTAATTACTAAAAACTTTACTATACCTAAGTACCTAAAGAAAACAATTAGATACATTTTAGGAAGGAAAAACAAGAAAAGTCAGGAGAGAAAGCAGACAAAATGAGCCAGGCAAGGAGATGCATGCTGCTAATCCCAGTACCGGGGAGGCAAAGGCAAGAGGATTGCTGCAAGTTTGAGGCCAGCCTGAACTACATAATGAGATCCTGTCTCAAAAAGAAAAAAAAAAAATAAGAATGGAAAGAATAGTAGAAACCAGCCCAACATGAGGTTCACTTTTACTAGAGGATTGTAAATTTTTTGGTTCTAAAATCTTAATGTTTATTATTTGTGTCTGAATGAGTCTAAGATATAAATTATCTTGGGCTTTTCAGATTCTCAGGACTAACCATGAAGGTAGAAGGCACTGGGGGCTGGGGATTTAGCTCAGTGGCATAAGCACCTGCCTTGCAAGCAGGCAGTCGTGAGTTCGATTGCTGGTACCAATAAAAAAGAAAAAGACAAAAAAAAGAAAGTAGAAGGTACCAGTTGTTTGGTATCTAAAATATATTCATGTAATAGCATATTAGTTTAAAATACTCTGGTTATGTGTTACATTTGATCTTCACAATAAAAACTTTGTAAAGATTTTTAGTTTACAAAAAAAAAGCTAGAGGTCAAATCATTAAGTGGCTGGACAGTTCATTGTATGCTACAGAGTACAAATAAAATTAATTTTAAATTTTAATACAAAGTTAAAACGAGTCAGCCAGTGCTCAGTAAGAATTTGGTCTGCCTGAAAAAAGAATTGAGGTTTGCTGAATTAACTCATTTCCTTCTCTGATCAAAGTAGTATATATGACATAACCCACAACATCTAATTTTTTTTTTCTTTTTTGTCTTTTTGAGACAGGGCCTCACTAGGCAATTCCGCCTGGCCTTAAGCTCACTGTGCTGCCCAAGCTGGTCTCGAACTTGCCAATGATCCTCCTGCCTCAGTCTCCCAAGTACTGGGATTACTGGTGTGTGTACCACTACTTCTGGATTTTTTTAAATGATCACTTATTATGTACTAGGTACTGTACTAAGCAAATCATGTATTCTCAATTTCTTTTCAATAACTCTATGGTATATACTACCTCAATCTTATAGGTCAGGAAGCCGAGACTCCAAATGACGTAGACCACATTAACCAACTTGTGATTCAACCTGGGCAGTTCCCTAAACCAAGTATGCCTATAGATACTGGCAAACTTCATCAAAGCATTCTAAATGAGAATAGGCATTGTAGTAAGTATGGAGATTTTAGTGATAAAAGTTCCCACAGTAAAAGTTTTCCTAACAATTCTGAGTAAATTAAATGGGTTCACATGAACTACACGACTGTAAATTCCTAGATATTTCTTCTATTATTTACACTGAAATTGCCGACTTAGTGATGATGCATAGTCGTGTCTGGACATTTTCTTCAGGCAAAAGCATATTCTCACCTGTAGGCAATCATTACTCTACAGTGTGCCTCGGAACAGAAATACTTTTTTTTTTTTTTTGGTCTTTTTTGAGGGACTCTCTATGCAGTTCAGACTGGCCCTGAACTCACTCTGTAGCCCAGGCTGGTCTTCAACTCACAACAATCCTCCTGTCCCAGCCTCCTGTGTGCTGGGATTACAGGTGTGAGCCACCACGCCCGGCTTTTTTTTTTGGGGGCTTTTATTTATTTATTTGGTACCGGGGATTTAACTCATGACCTCATGCTTGCCAGGCAGGCACTTATGCCACTGAGTCAAATCCCTAGCCCAGAATCACAAATTGTCTTATCACACTCTAATGACACAAATATGCAATTCCAAATAGAAAGGTACCAATATTAAGTTGAGATTAATTGCCTGTACAATTAGCTATCCTTTCCACTAGATTGTAGGAAGTGAACATTATTATCAGTCTTGTACATCACAAAATCCCTCACATTTAAAACTTTCCAAGTCTTTCAACAAAAAGGGATTTAGGTCACAGCACCTATCCTTAGCAGAGCATGGATTTAATGCTTTCTCAACTTAAGCATGTATCTCTGTCTTCAATTACCAAACTTATTTATTTATGTATGTTTGTATGCACCTACATACATATACACCTATATCCACTGAAAAGGCCAAGGGTGCACCTAGTACCTAAATTGAGTCCCAGCACTAATTCCCATTAAAAGGAATCAGAACTCAGGGCTGGGATATCGCTCAGTGGCAAAGTGCCTGCCTGACAAGTATAAGGTTGTAAATTCCATTTCTGGCACCAAAAACAAAAACAAACAAACAAACAAAAAGGATTCAGAACTCTCTAGATCCAAAGGCACAGTAAATGTAAGATAATAAAAAGGATTCAGAACTCTCAAGGTCCAAAGGCACAGTAAATATAAGATTAGCATGGCACATCACATTACATCACAATGTAATAGTTGAGCACAAAACAATGAAGACTGTATATCACAAAACACAGGAACCAGCTTGAAAGAGCTTACACCGGTAAAACAGAAAAATTAAAACATAAAAATACCATTTAAAAAAAGAATTCATGAGTCTATGCTGATAACAGGTAAGAGTGGGTTCTTTATACTGAAAATTATCTATAGGGGCTAACATAGATTAAGCGTTATAGTTGGAAACATTACCCATCAAAAATGAGAACAAGCAAAAATCAAAGTATGCGTAACAGGAAATTTTGATAAGAGCAGATACCTACATGAATAGACTGCTTGTTAGTTTTAAAGACAAAAAAAGTAACTACACAGAAGAACACTTGGCAAGTTAATAAGAATTATTTCCAATCTGAAATAGATGGAGACTGTATACCTTGAAACATGACATCTTAAGACTAACATGGCTTCTGCAGGATTCTACTGAGAAAACAAAACTTTAACCTACTCATAAAAACATTAGACTCACAGTGAGAAATGTCCTAGCAAGAAAAACTAAAGGATGTGTATGTTTAATATCAGTATCATAACAGGAAAAAACAAGGTGTAGGAAAATTCTCATGATTAAACTAGGTAAGGACCAGGGATGTAGTTCAGCAGCTCAGTGCCTGCCTGGCAAATTCGAGGCTCTGAGTTTGACTCCTAGTACTACAAAAAAAGGTCACTAAACTAGGTTAGTCAGGCATAGGGGTACACGCCTGTAATCCCAGCCCTCAGGAGGAGGAGGCAGGAAGATTGCTCAAGTCAACCTGGCCAACAGTAAGTTTAAGGCCAGCCTGAACTACACAACGAGACCCTGTCTCAAAATACATACATACATTAAAAAAAAAAAAAAAATGGTTAAACAAATATAGTATCTATAAGTTATATCCAATCTCAGATTCGATCCTGTGCAAAAGGGAAAAAAATGCTATAAAGGACATTTTTGGATCAAATTAATAATTAGAATAAAGTGTTAGCTTTAAAGGGCTAGGAGTCTCAAATTTAACCTTAAGTTCAGAAAAAACTGGCACTGTGGAACACAACTGCAATCCTAGCACTGAAGCAGACTGATGAAGTTTGTGTCTCGGCAACTTAGCAAGACCCTGTCTCAAAAAACAAAACAAAACAAAACAAACTGGTACAGAAGATGGTTGAGAGCACCCCTCTTGGGTTTGATTCCAAGAGCAAAGAAAGAAAAAGTTCAGACACATACTTTGTGGATGTGTATTTGTATATACGCATATGCCTGAAAGAAATACGTTACTCCCATGTATAAAAAACAAAACTGTAATGCCTAACACATAACCTTATATGTGTGATAGAAAAAGTAAACATACCTGAATAGGAGACGGTTTTTCCCAGCCCATTTCAAAAATTCCCATCAATAACTCCCGTTTTAAACAGTAATCTTCAAACTCATTTCCTTTTGTGGAGGTCACATCCTAATAAACAACAATAAAATAAAGTATAACTATGCTCTCTGATGATTAGCATGCTTAGGAATTTATCTAAACCAGCCATGTAGCCCGCACCTATATTCTAACACTCTGGGAGGCTGAGGCAGACAGATCATCAAGTTCATTCACAATCAGTCTGGGCAAATTAGTGACTTTGTGAGGTCCTATCTCAAAATAAAAAATAATTGAGAATGCAGTTTGGTAGTACAGGGCCTCTGGGATTAATCTCTAGTAATGCAAATAAATAAAATAAAATTGAAGGAGAGAGAAAAGCTCTGTGGTCAGCTTTCTAAAAACTGGTAGAAATTTCTGTAAAACTGTATGATACATTACTAATCACACAGAGTAAAGCCAGACCCTGCTCTACCACTCATCAGCTACCAGTACTTGGACATGTCTGAGTCTCTCAGGTGCAGTACTACTGACACTCGAACTAGAAAATTTTGCTTCAAGAGGCTAAAATGCCCTCGAGGGGACAGAATCACTTCCACTGAAAATACTCAGTTAACTTCTCTAAATTTGTTTTCTCATCTGCAAAGAGGGCATAATACCTAACCTGAGCATCTCACTGGGTTGCTAAAGAACAGAAATTTTTGAGAAAACTAGGTATGTGAGTATGTTTAAACATACTATTTAACATGTACAACTTTATTATATCATTTTACAAAAAATATGGGAAAATGTTGGCAATCTATCATTGGCTTATATAATTTTAATCATTTCTATCTACTTAGGAGTAAACACCTATTATCTAACATTGTAAGTATTTCTAATCTCTTCCCAATTTTCCCACTTGAAATCTACAACCAACTTACCGAGGTTTTGATTCTCAGATCCTTTGGAGGGAGTTTTAAAGTCTTTTTCCAGTCATCACCAGGCCTAAACAGAATACAGTAAATGTGAAGTATCAACATTCATAATGTCATACCTAATAATGCAAAGATGACTCATCAAAGTATAATTAAGTTCTAAAATGGCACAGTAAAGCTGGGCATGCTAGTAGATGGATGTCTATAATCCTAGCACTTTGGGAGGCTGAGCCAGGAAGATCTCAACTTTAACTCAAGCCTGGGCAGTTTAGCAAGACCCTGTCTCAAAAAACAAAAACAAAACAAACACACACACACACACACACACACACACAAAAACACCTAAGAATGTCACTCAGTGCAAAAGCTCAATCCTTAATACCACAAAAATAAATAAAATGAAAAAACAATTCAGCCGTTCACGCCTGTAATCCCAGCAAATCGGGAGGGGAGGCTGAGGTGGGAGGATCATTGTGATTTCAAGATCAGACTGGGCTAAAAAGTGAGCTCAAGGCCAGCCTGAACGGCATAGCGAGACCCCATCTCAAAAAAAGACTAAATAAATAAATAAAACCTCAAGAATACAGTTAATCAGACAGTGAAACAATTTCAGAGAAATTGATGTTAGGATAATAATCTAGGGAAGATCAAAAATCATTAAGAGCATCCATTCTAAGAGATACAGTGTAATATACAGTGCATTATGTTGTCAAAATCGTGTTTTAAATAGTCTTTTAATTTAAATTAGCAGCCAACATTTTAAAACTAGATTTCAAGTAAAACCTCAGATTCTGGATTTCTTTTTTTGTACCAGGGATCAAACTCGTGACCTCACACTTGGCAGGCAGGCACTTACGTCACTGAGCTAAACCCCCGGCCCTTGGATTTTCTTGAAAAACCTGAAAGGTGCTCTGGGTTTGACTCCTATCAGCAAAAGGAGGAGAAAGGTAGAGAGGAAGGGCAACTAGGGGGAAGGGAGAAGAATCAAGCAGCGCTACTTTGTTCTGCAGTGCTGGGCTTTTAACCCAGGGCCTGCATGTGCCTGACAAGGGCTCTACCACGCAGAGCTACTACTTCTCAGCCCTTTATGATTTGAGACAGTTATGCTGAATTGTCCAGATTATACTCAAATTTGTAAACCACCTGCCACAACCTTCTGGGCAGCTGGGATTAAAAAGCATGCACACTCATGCTCACTTTAACTGACCCTATTATACAATCACCTGTAGGGATCTTAGTTTGTAACGCCTAGTTAACTAATTAAAACCAAAGATACCTGAGAGTGGCCACAGTGGCTCACACCTGTAATCCCAGCACTTGGGAGGCTGAGCCAGGAGGATCCTTAGCAAGGCCAACCTGACTACACGGCAAAAAACCAAGACGCTATGCAAACAAAAAACGTAACTCTAACTCTAACCAACTCAGTAGGATCCGTTGAAGCCAAGAATTCAAGTCCAGTCTGGACAACTTAACAACTCAGAATCAAAATTTAAAAGGTCTGAGGTGGTAGCTCAGTACAAACACCCTGGATTTAAGAACAAGTGTTATCAAACCAACCCAACCCACGAACCAAAAACTAGTTTTATCCTTAAGAACTAAAATCAGCCAAAATTTTTCTAGCCTACTCATATTTTGTCAAGATAAACTACAATTTAGGAAGGATTCACCTTAAAAATAAAATGTACTAAGCTGGACATGGTGGCAAAAGCCTGTGATCTCAGCACTTGGCAGTCTGAGGCAGAAGAAACAACCAATCCAAGGCCAGCATGAGTTACATAATGAGTTTAAGACTGGCCTGGACTACACAGTGAGAACTTGTTTTGAAAAAAATAAAAGCAAAACCCTAACACCAGTTCTTCTAGTGATCAACCCAATTCTTTAGAGAATTAATCCCTAGACTCACTAGTGAGCTTCTCAACAGCAGTCATCTATATTAATAGTGTACAGAGACTATTTTCCACTAGGAAATGAAAAGGTCTAGATCACTGGTGGTGAACCTCTAGCACGCATGCTGCAGCAGGCTGTTTCACTGACTGCTGTAAAAGGTTCACCATCACTGGTTTAGACAACAATAAAATACACACTTTAGCTCAGTAAACCAAACATCTCAGTTAGATGTCTCAATGTTAAAATCACTTTAAATATGGCTTGTTTTTAAGTCAAACTTCAGTTGGGATCCAAAATTTTAAAAGTCAATTCTTTGTAACTGAATCTTTACAGTAACAGTCACCTCCCAAACAACTTAAAGCAGCAAAAGATGAGACAAATAGCCTAATTAAGTTTTGAAAATATTTTGTAATGGGGCTGTGGCTTTAGCTCAGTGATAAGAGTACTTCCACAGCAGATGCCAGGTCCTGGGTTCAAACTCTAGTAGCCTCCCACACACAAAAGTTCTGTTGTAAATGAAGCTCTTGTTTCAGCAACAAAAGTGTTTAGAACAAAAAATGTATGTTTATGCCAAAGAAGGTGGCATATGTATATTGAAGTCAACCCAGACTTCTGAGATCCTATCTCAAAATTTTAAAACAAAATCCTGGGATATGCAATGATAAGAGCCTTATGTGAGGCTTGGGTTTGGTCCCCAGCACAAATAAATGAGTGGGTGAGTGAATGAATGAATCATGAAAACTCAGGATTTCTGAACTCTTAGAAATACATATATAATATAAAAATACTAGGCACTGGGTAGAGTTTAAAATCAAGCAATTGACTTTCTTTCGTGGGTTCAAGTCCCAAAACAGTTTCTAAGAACTCAAAAGTCCTGAATTTTCTGGGACTGATTTTGCAGTACTGGGGACCAAATCCAAGTCTTTGACCATAGTAGGATAAGCACTTTACAACTGAGTTATATACCCTCAGCTTCTCTGATTTGTGTATTTAAAGAAAAAATATAAAAAGTAGAAAAGTGAATTACCGTAGCTAGAGTTATGAGTAAACACTGAAGAATTTAGATGGCTGGTCACATTTTAAATCTAAAATTTGCTTTTTAAAAAAATTTTTCAATGTGCTTTAAGCTGCCATTTAAACTAGGGGAAAGTACTGTGTTAATATTAGAAAAATAATACTGATTAAAAAACCTGATTTCATTTATGTATAAATTCAGTTAGTAATTCTACAATGAACCAATAATAAAAACCACATTTGTTTCTATATAAAATTAACATGCATTACTAGTGCCTACCAAATATGCATTACCCGCTGAATTGTAACAGAAATGTGTTATTCTATAGCAAATATCTACTAACCATAAAACTATCCTTTATTCGTAATCAAAGTAAGTTAAAAGGTAGCTGAAACAAAAGGAAATCCTGGTTCCCCAGTGTTTGTTATTTTCTGTCACTTACTTTATAGTGGTGGTCATACTCTGTGCTTGCTGCTGAGTGCCATTATTGATTGTGTTGGTATTTTTCAACTGGTTCATCTGTTGCTGTGTCTGTGTGCCCCCTCCTCCGGGGCCACCACTGGGCTTCACAGGGCCCCTCAGCTGACCATTTTGACTGGACAGACCCATTATAACAGGGTTCTCTGTTCTGGCCGTGCTCATGCTGTGTTAATTGCAAAGGTGTCTCTTTCAAACTTCAAAACTTTGAAAGTCAGTAGAGAAACTGTAATAACAGTTTATTAGGCTCTCCAAAATGAAGAGATAAATATAAGTCTTGCTCAATATATGAGTCCTTTATTGCAATGCAGGCAAGCACCTGTAAGTCTCTGAACGGTAAGCAGCAGTAACTTGCTCTCATGCACGGAATCAATTTTTTATTTTTAAAAAGCCCTCTAACAAGCTTGAGTTATATCGAATTCACTCTCACTTCAATCTGAAACAAAGAAAAAAATTAAATTAGGAAAAAGGAAAGTTAGGAAAAAATCTTTGTTTTACTTTCAAAGAACTCTCTTAAACTAGCTTTTAAATAATCCTACGTATGTATGTATGTATGTATGTACTAGGAACTGAACTCAGGACGTCGCATTTGCCAATCAGGCGCTGTATCCCTGAGCTACATCCCCAGCCCAAAACCAGCATTTAATGAGTAACTTTGGACAAATCACTAGCCAAACTAGGAAAGTTACAATGACCTACCCAAAAAACACTAATCTACAGTGAGCCAATGACTGTCAAACATTTAAAACTGTTGAGGTCAAAGCAACCCAGAGAAAAATCTCACAGAAAGATAGTATGATAAAATTAGCATTGGTTGTCAAATGACAATGTTTCCTTCATTTTTCTTCTTGATGAATTCTCTGTAAGTCTGCCGCCTCTAAAAGTCAATGATTCATTATACTTAATAGCAGTATCACTCAGTTTACTTAGTGTAAATCTGGTGAACAACGAAAAACAATTCATTAATTTTTTTCATTTTAAATTTTTTTGAACCAGGGTCTCACTATGTAGTCCCAGGCTGGCCTCGAACTCAAGTATCTTCTTGCCTTAGTCTCCCCTCAGTGGGATTAGGTTGTGCACCACTATACCCGGCAATTTTTTATATTTCTGACAGCAACCAAGAGTCTTTTGAAAACTTAAATGACACTGGGCTTTCAGGGAAGACGAATTTCCCCTATAGAAAGTTAAACTTTATGAGGAAAATGTTATTTTTTTCCCTTAAATTTCTGTCGTTTACAAAAACAATGTAGTCAAGGGATTTGTACGTGTCAAAATCTTTTACTTGAAAAGGTCAAGAAACTAGGTGTAGTGACCCATGCACTCAGGATTAGTTTGAGTTCAAGGCCAGCCTAGATTAGAAAAAAAAAAAAAAAATCCGTAGCTATCTTTCAATACACTATCTTTTTTCAAGCAGTACACAATTTAAAATAACATTATTAATTTTTAAAAGGATCTTGTGTAAAAACAAAAAAATCCATGAAAAGCAGAACACACTAGGACTTTAATAGTAAACTTGCCAAACTCTCCCCCCAAAACTAAAACAGTTATTTTAAAAATGAACTGGCCAGCCTCCTTTATTTTCAAATTGTCCCTCAAATTGAAATATATTGAATTTTAGTAATAAAAACCTAATGTACAAAAGCCCATAAAACAAAGCCAATCCTGTTGTCTCTAATCCTTACATTACATTTCTCAAAATGCACTAGTTTAATCTGTGATTTTTGCTGTACCTCAAAGTATCCTGAACTCAATAATTTTAAAGACAAAAGCTATCACAGTTTATTAGCAAACGCTTGTTGATTAAGCCTTCCTTTAAAAGAGTTTGAACATCACACTGCTTACAAACAAAACCATTTATTTCGAAATCTTGACCTGTTTCCGTGTCTGAAGACATATCTAACAGCTACTTTTCTGTACAGACAGGCTTATACTACAATCACGACATCATGTAGTTCACACAGGGAGACTTTACTGAAAACTAAAACAATCAAGGCAATCTCTAAAGGCTAAACGTTATCATCCTTACTATCATAGTACCACCCATCTCTTGAAACGAAAAATGAGACAGTGTAATAACTGCTCTCCTCCCAAACTGACACCTGCACCGCAGCTTTGTCTTAGAGATGGGAATATTCCTCCTACCCCTTCTCAATTTAGACTTGCAGTTAACAGTTCTACATCAAGAAAGAAGGAAAAAAAAAAGTGTAGACGACGCGGGAGGAGTCCCTGCTGGAGTTAATTACAGCACTTTCCAGATCCCAGTTAGCAATTTACAGTTTCACACCCCAAAAGACTATCTGCGTCTCCAACAAGAGCTTTTGTTTGCAAATGCAGCGCAGCTTTTCCAAGCTGTAGCAGCAAGTTGGAGTGACCAGGGTTTACCCTGAAGGGCGGACAGCCCTCGGAAAGCGAAAAGGGAGTGAGCGAGAAAGCAGAGACAAGCCAAAGGCTGGAGCCCCGTGACCGGAGCGCACAATTCCGGGTGCCCTCCCTCAGCATCTCACTCCCGTCCGCTCCCTCCGAGCAGAAGCACAAAGGCTGGGCGCCTGAAATCCTAGCTGCGCAACAAGACCGGGCAGCAGTTCCGCCAGGCGCAAACAATAGGGGCTCCCCCCGTGAGGCGCCGGGAGCCCCCACACACATCAGGCCCTCCGCTCGCCGAGCCCGGGGCTCCTACGCAGCCTGGGTCTCCGAGCCCATTGCAGTCCGCCGTCACCGGCCCCTCCAGCCGAGCCTCCCGCCACGGCATACCTGCCGCCCCCTACAGGGCCTGCCGTACTCCGTAACCTCCAGCGTCCCCACCCCCAGGTCCTGCGGCCCCGGCCCCAATCCCCTCCCTCGTCTCCGGTGGGGCTCCTTCGCGCACTCAGCCCGCTCCTCCTCCCGAAGCCGCCGTGCACCACATTCGACTCTTCTCCGGCACCTCCAGCCACACAGCTGCCGCCCGCCCGCCTTCCTCCCCGGGCCCGGCCGGGCCTCCGCCCCGGAGCGCCCCCCGTGCCGGCCCTAGGGGCTCCCCACAGTCCTCAGGCCCCGAGGCCGTCGACCCCACCGCCTCACCCCGCGCCCCGCGGCTCGGGCCGGGTCCTACCACTGAGGCCACTGCCGCTCGGCACCCTCAGTCCTTTATTGTTGACTCGAAGCTCCCAAAATGGCGGCGGCTCCTTCCTCCTCGGAAACCTCCGCCCGCCCCCACCCGGCCCCTCGCCGCGGCCTCCGCCCGCCCCCGCCCCGCCCCCGCGGGCCCAGGCCGCGCCGCCCGCGCCCCGGGCTCCCGGCTGCCCACTCTACCTCCGCCGCCGCCGCCCGCTCTCGCAGCGCCGCCGAAGTCACCGCCCGGCTGAGCTAACTCGGCTCCTCTGCCCCCTCCCTCGCCGCCGCCTCCCGTCCTCCTCCCCAGCCTCTCCGCATGGCGGCGGCCGCGGCTCCTCCTCCACCCAAGATGGCGAGAGCTCGGCTGCCGCCGCCACTGAGCTTGCCGCGGCGTCACGGCCTCTGCTGCCTGGAGGCGGGAGGAAGCCGGCTGGGGACGCTCCTTGAGAAAACGGCGGCCGTTCCCTCACATCGAGATGCCCCAAACACGGGCTCCTCTCGAGGGCCAGGGGCTCGTTTCCTCACAACTGAGCAGAAATGGCTGGGGGATGGTGGCCGGGAAGAGTCGCCTCCTGTCGCCCCTTCAAAGTGAACATCTGGGCTTGTGACCGCGGAGGATCTGCGTGTGCCTGAGCAAGGACGCGTGCCGAGGACGGCTGGGCCGGGCTCGGGAAGCTGACCTGACGTCTCTCGCGGACCGGGGGCCGCCTCCATCCAGGATCGCGTGGAACGAGTGGCCCGGGGGCGCCGGTGCGCGCGGCGGTGGAGCCGGAAGGGGGCCCGGCCGGGACCGGAGGGCGGGCGCGCCCGGGGAGGCTCCGGGGAGGGGCTGGCCCCGAGGGCGCGCCGGGCGAGGTGGGGGCAGGGTGCGCCCGAGGAGGGTGCGCGGGGGCGCCGGCCGCGCCGAGCCGAAGGGGGAGCTATGCGTCCGCCTCCAGTGAGCCCCGCGCAGGAAAGAGACCGGACTTCCCCACGGAGGACGCTTCCGAGGAGCTGGAAGAGAAGGGCGGGGGAGGGGACGTCGGGTGGCCGGCCTGACTCAGTATCAAGAGACTGATGCATTTGTTCTCATAATTACTTTTCAGATTTTAATATCTTCGCTTATCCTTAACAGAACAGAAATGCTGCCTTGTTCCAAGTAAAACAAAGTTGGAGCTAAAAGCTAGCTAAGTTAAGGGGGGGAATAAAAACTTGAGTCTTAACCAGCCGAGAGGCTGAATGCACAAACCATCAATGGCCAAACCCTGTGCGGTAACAGAACTCTGACTGGAGATGTCAGGTCTGGGTCCTTGACCGGCAGTTTTTTTTGGTTTTGTTTTGTTTTGTTTTGTTTTACCACCGTTTCCAACTCTGGACCAATCGGAGAAAGCCAAATATGCTGTCCAAACCAATCACAGAAGCTGCCTTTCCTCTGGTTATGCCTCCTCCAACTTCCTGTTTCCAACACCCTCCAATCGGAACACGCTTGAAGCTTTCCTTCTTTCTTTCCATCTGTTTTTTAAAAACTATTCTACTTCCGTTTTAAAATCTACTAAACCTAATGATGGTTTCTCTTGCTATGGCAAACTATGACAAATAGCCTATTCTCATTTGATAGGCCTTGCTAATTTACATGTAGTAAAAAATTCTGTACGGAAATATAAAAAAGCTAATCGTGAGATTAAAAAGAAGGTTCTCCTAATTTTTAAAAACTGAGCATGTCATCTCATCTAGACACAGTAACACACACTTAAAATCTCAGCAACTTGGGAGGCCAAGGAAGAAGGACTGCAAATTCAAGGCCAGCCTAAGTAAATTAATGAAACCCTTTTGAAAGTAATTAAAAAAAAACAAAAACTGAATGTAGCTCGGTGGTAGAGCATTTGCCTACCATGTGCAAGGCCTTGGGTTTGGGGCAGGGTGAGGGTGGAGAAGGAGTCATTTCCCACCTAGATTTTAAAAGACCTTCTTGTTCCAAGGGGAAAAAAATCCTGTACCTTGTACTCATCCTAGAAGGAAGATGATGAAATGGGTTTCAAGTCATAATGGCTGAGGCCTTG